CCCACCCACCCCTGCACCCTGCCTCGGAGAGAGCCTACCCCGGCAAAGCACCAGCGGCCTGTCGGCCCCCCCCACACACGCGATAAGACTTAAGTAATTAAGTCTTAAAGCTTACGGTACTTTGTTCTAAGGTAGCAAGAGAAAATACAATATATGAGACAGAAATGAATACATAACAACTTTGAGAGTTTTAGAAATAAAACAAAGATTTTATTAGAAAGGAAAAATCACACATAAGAAATGTGAGACTCCTAGATAATGGAAACTGTTTCCCTACATCAAAATTCTGCTTGAGCATTTCTTGGCTGATACCTACATAGTATTAGCAAGGTTAATCTAGAAGAAATTTTTGAAGGGCTGTGAGGCCAAAGTACATCTTTGAGGTACATTTGGGCCAGCTTGAACCCCACTGATAGTGTTGGGTATGGCAAAGGGTCAAAAGTCATCTTGGTCAACCCATCTACAGCCACCTGCATGATATTAGTTGACAAGTGTTCAAACAAACAAAACACTTGAGTTAGTTTTCCAATTTTTCACCAACACTCAAGCACTTTTTGTTTGAAAACTCATCAATTATGCAAGTGGCTGTAAGAAGAATGAATCATACTGCACAGGCACATCACCATTCTTTGAACTAAGATTGTACAACCACACATCCATCACAACCCAGATCCACAAAATCTGTGTGCTTATATAACATATATGATGACCAATGATTCCCAGCAGTTTTATAGAAGCTTTTCTCAAGCAGAAGAACCTCTGTGCATAATCTTGATTCTTCTTGATCTAGTTGAATATGCTTCAAAAAGTCTTTTTTTTGCATACATGAAAGCGAATGTGAATCAAAAAAAACCTTTGATTTTGCTGCAACATCACATGGGTTCAATACAAAAAAGGAAACATAGCAAATTGAAAAGAAAAAGAAAGAAGCATCAATTGATTTATCTTGAGTATCACCTATATTTATTTCTTCACTATCACAACTGAGCCTTTCTCATCTGAAGCTTTAATCTATGGCGAGGTTTGAATCATCCAGATTGATAGGGTTTTCTTTAGATCGGCTCATTTCATCTCAGAGCTCATATCATCATCTACCAGGTACAGTAACCACTAAATAGAGAAACAGAATCAATGACATCAACCAATTATGCACTTTCTAGGGGGTAATGTAAAGGAAATGAAACTAACCCGTCCACCAAGAGGTCTGATCCAGTGGTAAATGCAGATGCATCACTGGCAAGATAAAGAGCAGCCCCGTTCAAGTCCGAGACATGTCCCATTCGTCCCACAGGACTATAATCCCACACAAAAATAATCAGTCTCCTCATGACACCAAGTCTTAGCAAGACTCAAAACTACTCACGTTCGCTCAAACCAAACTTTCTTCAACAAAGGACTAAACAAAACATCCGATTCATTCTTGTTAATAAGAAACACTCAATTCAAGGCCAAAGAACCAGTGTAAAAGCTCTCACTCGAATTTTTCATTCAAAAGTGTGTTCATATAACCAGGTGAGATGGTGTTGCATCGAATTTTGTGTGGTGCCCATTCACTGTTTAGATTCAAACATATCTTCAAACCTCGTCAACTACGTGAAATTCATATCTTCGATAGAAAAGATAGAAAAACTACTAACGCTGCTAATGATTTCATCAAATGAATCACAGCCGCTTTACTGGCATTGTCTGAGACCGCAAGAAAAGAGAATGTCAGAAAACACATAAAAGTCATCCTGTTCTAACGGTGAACCAAAATATCGTCTTTGAGACTTACATGCACATTGGGGTTGCGGGTAGTTCACAATACTGATCATGGCAGATTTGGTCAGATTCGTACATACAATAGAGTTACGGTGAGGAACTACTAACCTGCCACTCATGGAACCAATAAAGATCATGGAACCACCTCGGCCTGAGGAGATCATGTGCTTAGCACAGCTTTGGGCGCAGAAGAAAACACCTACACACCAAAAGGATGCATCGATTTAATGCCTATACCCAGCAAAGCTACACAATTTTAAAAACTTTGTGACTGTAGAAAACTGACCGTTTAGATTGATATCCATCACCTGTCAGATCGGTCAACATCGTCGAAAAAGTGGTGAAACAGGGTGAAACAGGGTGAAATCAAGCCATGACGCCGAGACCATACGATATAAAGTAATCAGCAAGCTTGATGGAAGATATCTACATCAAGTCAAACATAACTAAACCCTTTTGAAACGGTCTGCAGGATAGTCTTCAGCCGCAATATTATCGGCCACACCAGCCGAACAGATCAACACATCTACAGATCCAAAGTCTCGAACCACACCATTGATCACTTCTTCTACTGCTTCATGATCCCTAACATCTACTCGATAAAATGAAGCTGTACTATATAGATTATAAATTCTCATTAGATTCAAGTTGTATGCTTACAAGTCCAAAAATTACCTAAACTTACAGTCCAAAATCAGCATGTAGTTCTTTAATTGCACTTTCCCCAAATTCCTGTAAAATATCCAAAATCGCAATTCCAGCTAAACCAGCTTCACAAAGTGCACGTGCCATCTCAAATCTATAAATTCCATACAAATCAATCAAAACCTTTGATCGAGATGACATTCAATCTAGAAAGCCAAAGAGAATCACTCACCCAAGACCACGAGCACCTCCTGTGACTACAGCCACCTTTCCAGTGAGTTCGAATCGTGAAAAGATTCCACCAGGACGATGTTTAACTGCAACACCTCCATTACCGGCAGTGTCTGCGGCAGCAGTACCAGCGGCTGGTAGTGTGGATGACATACTTGACATAGAGTTCATCTTCGAATGTTGGTGATCAGTGGATTTTGTTTTATGTTGACTGTATGATAAAGCAAACAGTGATCAGTTTCAATTTGAGAGCATCTTGTTGCCTTTTCCACTCTGTGCGATCAAAACAATACCGAAAAGACAGACGACTTGGTTTTGAAAGTGATAAAGCATAGCAAACTGAATGGGGAAGGGAACTCTAACTTACCAAAGATCGGTAAGAAGGTTGAGTTTTTAAGAAAACCAAAGTAAAGTAAAACAATCGAGATAGGCTAGCTTAGACTTAAAGGTAGGTAGAATAAGAAAAGTGAGAACCTTTAAGGAGATGTAAGTCTAGAGTTCTATCTATGATGAAGATGGGTGATGGATGAATGATGATGATGGTTATCAGTTTTATTGCTTTGACTGATCTTTAGAGTCAGTTGGTGTTTAAGTAGAAACTGATGACGTCGTCCTTGTCAGTTGATTTCATCTCGCATCGGGTCAAACCCCAACCTACCCCAGAGGTTTAGGTCACCCCGCAAATTCAAACTGCACAGTGCATGGCGATTTTCTTGTACTGTGAGAATACCATGTGTCAGCCTGTAATCTTGGTCCCTCTTTTTACACAGACAGAACCGTTCAAATATCCATAGCAAAATAACTTCCCAACGCCAAATTAGGCTGAGCTATCCTAGTAGGCTCTTCTCCCTTGTTGACTTGCTATGTTCAGCTCAAGGTATGTCCTTCTCACATGTCTGAAGAAGACTTTCCAAATTGTAGTCAAGGTCCGAGGAAAGCTGATGCGTTATGTATCAGGGTAAAGCCTTGCTTTGGGGTGCACTGTAGGGGTGGGATGAAGTTGGAGGCCTGAATTGTGACCGCGTGAACAGGGCTCACTACAAACGCACGATTCGAACAATAAACAAAGGAAAGGGATGACATGCTTAGACGCTGATGGCTGTTTTACCAAAAGGAACTATATAGAGTGCATCCTTGTGTGGGGATCACCATGTCAGCTCAGAAGTGAAGTTGTTGGTTCATAGTGATTTGAAGTGAAAGGTCAGCGTTTTGACACCTGTCAGTGGAACTCTCACAAAGTCAAAAGACGTAACAAACATAGGCTTCAAAAATTGCCGAAGAGCCAAAGCATTGAGTCACAAAGATGACCAATGTATGATGTATGAAGATTGCTATAATCACATCACTAACAGAAAATCTGCTGACTCCTAAGCAATCTTGAACGATTTGGCAATGATTGGGGAAAAGCTTTGTTGAGATTGTAAAAGGAAAAGTTCGAATGTAAGGTTCTATTTCCAATAGAATGGTCAAGCCTTTTTTTGTGTTAAAAGATTGTTTAGGAGAATCAATTTATGCTACAACCGATCTAGCCAAGATTTGTTGAAGGTCTATGAACCAAGAATAAGTTACAAAAAAAGAAAGAACCAAAGAATAAATCGAAAATCAGCTCTCAAATTTCCAAGATCCATCATATCAGAATCAACCAACTGACCTTCTAAAGTGGTATTTTCCCTTGTGACAGTAGTGACCGGACGATTATCCGAATTATCAGGAATCTTAGCTTTAAGATTCCCATCTACTTCAATCAAACTCCAACCGATCTCTTTAATCCAATCTTTAACTTCTTGATCATCATTTAAACCAAGATAAGATTTTAATCTGATCAAAGAAATCGATCTAAAACAACTCGAAACACTTTGACTAATCGATCTTCTAATCAATCCATCAAAGTCTTTGATGATTGAAATCAATGGCCAAAGTGATTCAAATTCGGAACTAGATAATAAACTCCAAAATAAATTGAATTTTCTTGATTGTAATGTAGATGATAGTTTCGATAATAAATTAATCAATGTTAAGGTTCCTTGTGGGGTGACTAACGTAGACTGTGGAATTCAAAGAATGGTATCAGTTGAATTCTAAACAAGAACCTTGATTGAAACCCATTATTCTTACCATTCGATCTCCACACATACTCAAACCTAATGAGAAATCACTATCAAATGGTCGATGAGCGATACTCAATAACAAGATCTTAACCGTAACAGAATCATGAATAGCTTCGATTGGGTTACTTGGGTTTTCAGCCGCAAGTGGTACTAAATCAGGATTAAATTGATATCTATAAAAATTCAAGTCTTGAGTAAGCCTAAAAATCTGACGCGAAGGATATTTTTCAAGGAAATCAAGTGTTGTCTTTTTCGAATCACTTACAATTTCAGAGTTGCCAAATTGGCTAATGGGTCATAAAATACCTCATTAAATTGACTTGCTAAATAATCTTCTAAAACTTGAACTTGAGTTGGATCATATCGTTCTACACCTAAAATCAAATCTTCAATTTGTTTTGGCCTTTGAGATGGGTTAGACCAGGTCTACGTCAAAAAAAATGTACAAAGCAACGATCGTGGTATTAATTATAATGCATTTTGGTGATTCTTGAGCAGGATGAAAAAGATACCAACATAAGTAGCTGATGGTGTTCCTTTTTCAGTGGTAGTATCTTGTTGAACCATATTGTCAGATTGATTTCTGGTATCGATCGGCTTGGTTTGATTTAATTCTGGCCAGGTTTCGAAGGTTCTGATGGTAAAATGTGATGGTTGAGTTTTCTTGATTTCCTTCCTTGCACTTGAAAGTTGAAAGCCAATCAAAATGGTTTGGTCATAAGATTCAGTGTATGTGTGGTTTTGACCCTTAGCTAGGTACTTAAGCTGTTGCACTCGCTAATTAACTTGAGTGATGTGCGCTGTTTGACGCGCACCAAGGATGCATTTGTCCGTACATGCAGCGCGCACCCCCGCACCCACTGACCAGTGACCAATGAGTGGTTGGCATTGTGGCAATGACACGTATACATATTGTCTTTTATTCAAAAGACCTCATGGTTGATTATTGCTTTTCTTGAACATCTTACTTGCTGTTGTTTCACTGAGCGTCTTTCAGACTTGGACCCCTCTAGATTTCCTCTCTCTGTGAATATCAGTGTTCCCTGTATAACAAGGGCTTGGATTGCAAAAAAACTGCCTTTAGAAAAGCGAAGAGAATCGGAGTAAAATCTTTACAAAAAAAGAAAACTAATGAGAAAAAATGGATGAAGGAATGATACCCAATCCAAAGTTCATCTCAAAAAACATATTAATAATATAGCTCTTCTTCAATAAGATGTTCTTGTCAAAAATGAGAATTGATGCTTCTTTGACAAATTTGGTCAAGGTTTTTCTAAAATGACCAGGAAAAATATCAAAACCCACACAAAAAAAGATGTCTAATTGGCTAGACTTGATCAAATTAAGTTTTGTGTGGTAAATCGATCATGTTTCATTTTGAAGCTTTCTTGGCTTTTTTCTCTTCCCATTCTTTTTTAGCAAGTAAATGAGCATTGTCATTCAAACCTAATCGATTACGACAAATCTCAATCGCATAGAATTGAATTCGAGTAATAAAGATCGTATTACTTTCTGTATAATCTTCAGTTGAATTACTCCTAATAAGAGTTCCGAAATTATAATCGACCACTTCAAAAAAAATCTAAAGGTTAGTGGTTTGATCTATAGCTAAGATTTTTTTTGGGTTAAAGAGAGTGAATTGAAAACCCACCTAATTTTTCAAATTTAGCGATATATTTTCTCCAAATTTCTTTACTTGCTGGACTTTTGATTTCATTTTCGTCTAATTTCTGGAGTCGATTATCTTTGTTTTCATATAGATCTGGAAAATGTTCTTTGAATTCTTCCATGAGTGTATCATCATACCTATGTAATCAATTGAAAGACCAAAGATGAGTGAATAAATGTGTATTACATAACTTGGGATAAAGCTTACTTTGTTAATTTCATGGATTTCGGTTCAATTGCACCTAAAAGGTTCCAGTAGGTTTCAGCTTGTTCAATACATTTCACTGCGAATCTTTAGAGAAATCCCAAAAATAAAATAAAACATTAATAAGTTATTATTTTTTGATTGATTTGCTAGAGTCCGTTGGAAATTGGGTTAGGTATTGAGATGATCAAACTTACTGTTTTTCAATCTATGACCATCAAGTTGATGATGTTAAATCCGAATTAAGACATCGAAGGAATCAAAGATGATGGTGATAGAAACGAGGTTAGCTCTCTGAAGATGACGTAGGTCTGTGCCTCCAAGGGTAAACAGAAGATTTGGTAAGCGTTACAGGAAATCAAAGGACACTGACTTCAGGTAAATTAGGAGCATTTGCAGCATCAAAACCTTTTGGAATGGGGTCTGAAGGTAAATCCATAGTGGTGAAGTTGGAAAGTGTTGTGTGGAGTTGGAGAGTTGAGGTTTTGAGCGTTGTTGAGGAGGTGGAAAACAAATTGAATGACCAAAACGCCACGTGTGTGGTATGTATCGCAGATCAATCCTTGCCCCGGTCTCGGTGATCCGAGGGCGAGTACTATTTACAACTCATTCTCATGTAATTTTGTTTCACAAGTGACCACATTAGTGGCTCTCAAACCTGCCCCAGTTAAAAAAAACCCGGTTGCCCCAGTTAATTCTTTGGCGGTAACCGAGGGTAACCGGGTCTACTGGGTCAAGGGTTCAGGTTTCAGACCCAAATACCCACTTCCTCGACCCAACTCCACATCTCACGCCCTTTTCCTCTCTTCAAATGCCACAGTCAACCCGCCGTAGCGACGCGCTGGCCTACATGAAGGTCTTTTTGGCCCTTCAGGTCGCCTCACTGGCCAACCATAACAACGACTCACGCACAACTCCTAGCGACTTCGCGGCAATCATGGCAGCTGTTATTATCTTAGATCAGCTTGACTCCACCGATGACCTCCTCATACTTGCATCTCAACTTTTCCTATCAAGTATGGCGGCTTCCGATACTTTACGTACCTCTCGCAAGCGTCAACGTTTGGAAGACGAATCGATGGTAGCCATTCTGGCTTACGGTATACATCGTGTTCACACCAATCGATATTTGGTACCTCGAATTGGACGTCTTTCACGCCGAAGTAAAAAGCAAGAGTGTTTCGATGAATGGTTCAACGAAGGTGATCGGACATGGGGTATTGTTGTAAGTCGCATTCACTTCCTTGGTTCAGGTCCTGAATTACTGAAAAATGTATGTTTGTATGTTTGTTCTACTCCCATAGGCCCGAATGTCCAAGGAAAGTTTTGTGGCTCTTGCACACGAGATCTCTGGAAACCCGGTTTTCCACAACAACTCAAACTACCCTCAAGCTCTAGTTCAATGGCAGCTCTTGGTTGCGCTGGCTAACTTTGGCCTTTCTGGAAATGGTGGTCAAGGTCCGATAATTGCCAAACTTTTCTCAATGGCTGGTGATTATATTTCCTTCATCTTGATTTGTTTAAGTAGAGGTTTCTGATTCATGGTTTAGAGGGGAGTGTGGACAACTATACAAACCGTTGTATCTTGGCATTAGTAGAACTTGAAGCGAAATACATCAAATGGCCTTCACCTGAAGAACGAAAGATTATCAAGACGGAAATTGGTCAAAATTCATTCTTCCAAGATTGTGTTGGTTTCATTGATGGAACCCTGATTCCACTCACATACGCTCCTCAGAAGAACCCTGAGGACTACTACTGTCGAAAGTCATTCTATGCACTCAATTCATTGATCATATGTGATCATCGGAAGCGAATTATTTACGCTCATCATGGGTGGTGCGGATCAGCGCATGACCAACGTGTCCTGAAATCGACTGAGGTAAGTCATTTGTTATAATATGTACATTTTAATATCTGCTGATTCCAAATGAATCAAGTTTTTTAAGCATATAGAAGACTTTTTTAGTGAGGGCGAGTACATCATCGCTGACTCGGGTTATAGTTCCTCCAAACGAATAGTACCGGCTTTCAAGAGTCCAAGGAATGGTGAACTTGACCGGGCACATAGAAGGTTCAATAACGCTTTGAGTATTGAACGAATTGTTTCAGAACACACTAACGGAATGTTGTTCTTTTTCTTTTTCTTTTTCTTTGACTTTGATTTTGATTTTCTCTTCTTTTTTTGACCATGTAGATCAAAGACTACCTTTCAGCATGCTGTGTAATTCACGACACCGTCATAAGCAAAGATGATACTCACTTTTGAGATGATTTCAAGTGATTGAGGGTGGTTATGAGTGATTTGGGGTGGTCTCGTACTTGGCCTATCTCTGGTACCAGACCACCATTTCCTTTTTTTTTACAAAAAATGTGTCCTTATGATAAGTTTTGCTCTAGGATATCATAACTCATGGTTCCTGTTAATGACTTTTCAAGTTGTAGTAATTGATGCTTATGCTAGTATTTGTTCTCAGTTCTTATTTGTGGTTGTGATGACTCACACTTTTTGTTTTTGTTTTGATCAATGCAAGTTCACTGTGTTCCAAAAGTATGAGCCTACAAACTGAGAAAGTCCCATTAATCTCACTTATGATCCAACATAAATGACGCCAAACAACTTATAGTTACTCAAGCAGAACATGATCCAGCTTATTGTCTTTTTCATTCTTTGTCGCATCGACAAAAAACTTTCAATTATATTGATAATCTCAATGTTTTTCAATCAAATCTCACTAAAATAGAGGATCCAGTATCTAGTTCGTTCATCCTAAAATCTTAACTGAAATGTTAAAAGTTGTTCAAATAAATATGAACAATTTAATTTGATGTTTTGTAGATAAGTTTGGTTTTGAATGGCAAATCAAACAAAAGTTTCCTTCTTTGCATTGATTTCTGAGTCAGACAGCACAAAAATCAAGAGACGTTCAAAAGTATTAAAGAGATTCAATAAAAAAGATACATCGGGTAAAGAAACAATTGTGATATCAATCCGATCAACAGAATGATCGTGTTCGTTAACTAGATAATAAAAAATTCAATTAAATCAATGAGATCTCAATCAAATGCCCATCCCTTCTCCGTGACCTGTAGCAAAACTAGACATATGACGGTCTCTGTTTGAATCGGGGTAGTCTTTGATCTACATGGTCAAAAAAAGAAGAGAAAATCAAAATCAAAGTCAAAGAAAAAGAAAAAGAAAAAGAAAAAGAAAAAAGGTTATAAGTCAACGTGGAATAGGTGTGCTAGAAAGCTGATAGGACGACTTACGTGTGATCGATGAAGCAATTGGTTTGAGGCGTCAGGAAAAATGTCGAGGAAGTGGGTGTTGAAAGCCAATCGTAGAGGGAGTTCAGTGAGTGATTGCCAATTACAGTGCTCAGCAGGCCGCGTCAGCCAGCTGATCTGGATTCTGTATGCATCACTGCACCGGCTGCGGGGACTGCGGCGCTGAAAAATATTTTTTTCTCGGGCCAGGGGTGCCATTCATTTTAGAAAAAGTAATAATATCAACTGATGAACAAACCATCGTTTGTCTACCCCTTCAGCAATTGCAATCGTATATCTCATTGGGTGAATTTTATGGCAAGGATCCCTTTGAAGATTGAATAATGGAGACCACAAGCATATGTGCTATGCTGGTTTTGCTTGAATGAAGCCTATATACAGTCACTTGCAAGTTGAAGCTGCAAAAAGGTTGACATCTTCATGGTGCCAAGGTGTACCAAAGGTCAGCTATACGATGATAGAGATCCTCATGGTTACCAGCGAGACCATTGACCCATGTGCTATCCATCACTCACTTTCCGGCTGCAAATGGAGCTCGGATCAGGTTCAAATGCTCAGCTCAAAGTACTCAGCCAAGCAAGCAACACTGCAAATAATAAAACCTCGAGTCAAATCAAATTCAATTTGAGCAAGGAAGAGGTAAATAATTATGTAAAAGAAATAGGTCCGTTGAGGATTCTAGGTACCGCAGGACATCAAAAGGAGCCATACATTATCAGCTCTTCGACATCAAAAAAAGGAAAGAAAAGGAAAAAAAAGAAGACAGAAAACCAAAAGACAAGAACATTAATTGAAGATATCAAAGACGGATATAATTATTTCTTCACGAGTAGAAGTAGTATCAATATATTCAAAAACGCATAAGTACTTATGTACAATCAATCCAAGAGAAAATAATATTATTCAAAAAATTTATACAAGGCAAAAAGGAGTGTAGGATTTGGGAATCAGAGAGTTGTAAGACCGATAAAATGCAAAAGAGAGAATTGAACAAGAAATGCGAGAGACGATAGAAAGAAAGAAAAAAACCAAAACTCGGTTTAGGACCACTGTGACTGAAACTTCTGAAGAATTTATTAGGTTTTAAATCGTTGCATCATCCAACCAGTGATCAAGAGTCTTCAACAAAAGAGATTGGGTCTTGAAACTCTAAAGATCAAGAGCTTCATGGTTCCTTTCAATTTTGCCCAGCGTGACCAGGTGAGATTCCAGCACCAGAACTTCGGGTAGAGTTCCAATCTGACTCGGATTGCGGTAATGGCTCTGTACAATTATTGACGGTCGAAGGCGCACCCAGATCGAGGTGAGCAGGTGAGGTGAGGACTGAAAAATGGTTAAGATCTTCACTTGGGCCGTTCCCGTTGTTACTGAAACCACCCAACGTGTGCTGTGAAGCTCGATGAGAATGACGCTGAGCTAAATGGGTGGATGTCGAAGCGCAACTTGGGCTAGGACTCCTTGGTGTAGCACCTGCTGGGTTGTAAGGTGAATGTGACTTGGGAGAACCTGATTGTTGGTTCACGTAGCCCTCAAATCTCTCTCCGTGCGGATTTTGAGGCTGGCAATGTCCTTCGGTACTGTAACTCGGATCGTAAATCGTTTGTGGTGGATAGCTAGGTGCGGATGATGAACGTCGATGAATGTCCTCAGGCTCAGCCAACAAGTTTGAAGGGAACCCGGGTTCGTAAGACTGATCAAAAGGGTAGGAAGCACCTCGCTCTGCCGAAGGATAAGTATTACGTTGGTGTGGCGATCCATGATTGATATGGTCACCTGTACCGGAAAAATTGTATTGCTCCATGGGAGAAGGAACTACATCCCGACGGAGAGGCATCAGGGTTGGCGAGCCAGAAGTTGTACGGATCCCCTGAGTGTCATTGTTGATCAAATTTGAATCGGGTAAAGTACCACAACCATTTGGATCTGATCCGAGCCATCGATTGCTTAATGCTTCAAAGGAATCCGGTCCACGGTAGGTTTCAAACAAGTTTCCCGGAGTTGAACTTTGATCGGTGTTTCGCATAGACGGTAGCGAGTTCGCATGGGTGATATGACCAGAAGATGACCCCACGGGTGGTGGTGGGTTGAGATAACCATTGTAAGAGGCAGCTCCAGAGCCATGATTAGATGCGATCGAACTTCTGGCACTTGAATGGGAATAAGTACCGTAAATGTCGTGATTCTGATGCATCGATGCAGATCTGGAATGACTTGGTGGATGGAGGCTTGGCAATGGGTCAAGCTGGGTGACTCCGTGGCTAGGTGGACGATTATAGGGGGAGTATCGTGCTTGTGAAGGGTTAGCGTAGCCAGGCGCCGGACCAAGTCCTTGTGGGCGGTATTGTGAGTGAGATGGAACACGAGGTGCTGAAGGATCGCCACCAGGATACGCGTATGCCAGTGACGAACCCATATGACCTTCGGGACCTGCGGGATTATTCTTGCGATTGTCCACTGGAACAGCGGCGGCCGCTTTCTTGCCCCGTCTGCCTCGAGGCTTAGGCGCCGACAGCAAAAGTTGCCCAAATCCTGGCTCTCCTGGACCAAGACAGGTCTAATGCAAGAAAAACTTGTAAGACTTTGACAGGTAACTGGGAAATCCTGAAGAGCTGCAGGGCGTGAAAGAGATACTTACGTCGGGAAACTCTGGACCAAACAACGGAATAAGATCATATCGCACCTGCCAAGCAACCCGGCGAGCCAATGTACGTGCTGTGTCGAAAGGTAACCTAAACCAACATTGTACTAGGTAAGTAGCCGAGCTGAGTCACAACAAGATCTGGTCTACTTACCATGTTCCTTGGATCTTGAGGTAACCACCTCTGACCTTTCTTAGATACGGAGCAATTGTAGGGTCGGACTCGACGAGCTTCACAACGTCAGCCTTTGTGTGACCCAAAGCCTTCCAGATTCCGGTGAAATGTACCATTCCTGAAAATTCGACAAGATGATGTCAATAATAATTCATGCGCGAGGTCAACTGTGCGTCAGAGTCTCATCCTGGTGGTACTCACCTGTTTCACAGTCAATCATGATATATTGACCACTGTCAGTTAAAAACAACACCACCGACAGAAGTTAGCTAACCGTTCCCAAAGTAGTAGATGCAGAATGTACTTACTTGAGCGGGTATTCGAAGACAGGAATATAACCTCGTGGGTCTGTAGATGTTGCATATCTGGTCATGCTGACTCGATGCTGGGACGGATAAAGCCGTACTGGAGGTGGAGCCTTGGCCTCCTCGTTCACCAATGCTTGGACAGTTCGAGGAGGTTGTGCTGACATTGTGTTAGCATAGGCTAAAGTCGGCGCTGTAGCCATCGATTGCCGATAAAGAGCGGGAATAGGCACGCTGGAATGAGACAGGTGACATTCATCAGCATTACTCTTCTACCTCGTCAGTGAGGATACAGCAGAGTCAAGGATGTAGGGGGAAAGCATGGTTTCGCTGTGTTCGAAGAAAAACATGTCCTTCGCCATGGGAAAAGTCGAAGACACCGGAGCAAAGAATTGCTCGTAGCTCAGGTGGAGGGAGGTTCGAGAAAAGAAGATTGCACTCACCTCCGCGAGTCAAGGTTGGGCTTCTGGGAAGTTAGAATGCGAGATCCGAGGCCGTGCGAGAAAAATGGACTCGAAAACTTTTTGTGGTCTCGACTGGGTTGTTGGAGACTTTGGAGCTGAGAGCCCGTCGAAGCTTGTAGTCTTCAAGAAGTTGTAGAGCAAAGGATGTCAGTCAATTCTACCCACCCTCGTGAGATGTGAAAAATGGTTGAAAATGTGAATCTAGGATGAGTGAGAACTCTTAGAAACAGATGCTGGAATGATTTGAAATGATAATGTGTCTATAACTGTCTTCCAGACGAAGTGGGTAATGTTGGGAACAGAGGCAAGAGACCAAGGCCGGCTTTCAAGCACAAGGGTAGATAAATGGTCATCACTTCAAACCGTTCACACTCTTCAAAGCTTCCTCTGTCTCATGGTATTCAGACAGCCGAGGTGAACAGGTAGTCCCGAGTGGCAAGATGTTGCCCGTGGTCTAGGACACCCGAGGAGAAAAGAATGGGGGTAACCATTCGTCTTCTATAACAAACTCACGTTTAAGTATTTATTGCTATGCAATTGAGCTCGTCGACTGTCGGACAAATGATCAACGGACTCGTTGAATTTTTGTGCTCTCAAATTGTGTAACAGTAGGGAAAAGATTTTCCTCGTTCTATGAAACAAAATGAGCGAAGACGGGATATCAGTGATCATCATATTCCGGCCGAGTAATATAGAAATCATTAAGGGGAGTTTAGCAACGAGGTGAGAACTGGGGTTAAGAGTTAGAGAGGAGTCATTCCAAGACAAGTTAAGTCAAGTTAATATAGCAATTTGGGACAGCGAGTGCTGTAGGAGGTCAAAAAATTTTGTGATGAGAACCTCATATTCCCTTCACCGGTGCAAGACTCTATAAAAATGCCTCTTGGCATCCCGTGAATAGACTGGTTTTGTATATCCAAGAAGAGAAGATATTGACGAGACCATGACTCCCATTAGCCCCATCGAGGACGAAAAGGAAATCACGAGGAATATATGGATGATCGAGACAGTTAGTCTCCGGATGTTGATCTTGACAATTGATATAGTCAAAACAAGGCACTTGGAGTGAAAACATCAGCGTATGGAGGTCGGCTCACGGAGTCGCTCAAATAAAACAGACTGCGTAGGAAAGGATGAGGGAACATGCACCGACTCCCGAGGATTGATACACACTTCTGAGAAGATGGATTAAACGGATTATGTATGCGATATCAATGAAATAGTACGATCAGAGTGGTTGGAAAATGCACCAAACATTTGGATATCGGAATGAGTAAGTCTAGTTCGACGTCGACTCTGTGCGACACAGCGCAGCAAATGACAACGAACCCTTCAAGAGACGCGAGGAAAAGTACCTTCGGATGAACAAATATGATTTCACTGACCTCGAGCGCCCCCAAACGACTTAATAGCCAAGAAGATTTTGTTCTATTAAAGGTTTTCTAAAGCTGCCTTGGCTTGAATATTGGTATAAGCGTTGATTGATGAATTGATGATAAGGTATATAGATAGGGTACTTCAAAGTGAGTGTTGTGAGGATCACCGCAAGTATTTGCGCTCTATGTGGATTTGAGAGGGATTCCTATTATGAAAAACAATGAAAAGTGAGAAAAAGGCAATGAGGAAGATAGTCGACTGTTTCACGCTGCCGCACACAAGGCCACCGACTCGCGGAGCAAGAGTTACGTTCTTGAGAAAGAGACATCACCACAAACATACGTGTACCAATTTTGATATGGTACAACTCTAAAATTGTATCTAGTACATTGGAAAGTTCAATAGGAGTGCTTCTCTCATGACTCATGAGCTCTTCCCACAAGATAAAAACGGGCATGAGACTCAGTCCATGAGAAAGCTCAGCAGCTTTTCACAGTATAAATTTCTTTTACACTCTTGTTCTAATCGTGGAAAGCGGTGCTAACTACAAATTTAATACATAAAGACAAAATTCTCAAATGTGTTGTACACCTACTCAGCAATTCAGCAATCAAGTGTAAGTGACAGTTTGTAGGATTTTTCTACAATAATTTGAAAATCGATCACGTTCCTCATTCAGAGCGCGTCAAATGTCCAACAAAGAAATGAAAGCTTTCAAATCGAACGGAACATACCCGTATTTCAATTTATATATGTATGTACTTAACTATAAGGGTACTCAAAGCAAAGTATGATGTATGTACTTGAAATCACCTGAAATCACAGGTTTAGACCGTTTGACTTGTGCGGTGGACAAGATCAATCTGATCCAGCATGATTTTCTTCCGTCCTGTTTGAGCATTCTATCAATGACAAGATGGAAGCTGTCAAAAAAAGGTCATATATCCCAGCTCTGTGGCACCACTCCCAAATGGCAAAAGATGGGTTTGAGTTTCAGGTTTGAGTTTAGGGCCATTCGGCTTGTGTCCGGACCGGCGCGATCGGAGGAGACGATCTTGACGAGCAGTCAGATCCGTTGTCTCTTTCTCACCGAAAAAGATGATCAAATTTATCATTATGAATGTGAACTTTCAGCAAGGAATTTATCAAGGCCATACATACGTAGAGAGAACTGATGCGTGAAAATTCAAAATCAATGGAAATGGAAATATATGTAAACACGCAATGCAGGAGAAGAAAAGAGGAAACAATTGAGGTCGATTGTCAGGGAGAAAAGCAGGATCATCACGAGAGTACGAGTTCACTCAGAACATGGTCGCACCTGAGGAGCTTTGGAACGTTCCCTCGCTACATAAGGAACTACGTTCCTACGCCCAATACGTCAAATCAAATTGGAAGTAAAGTCCGCATCCGGTTCACCCCATGTCGCTTACATATATACAGTCTCACAATTCTGACTTCCATTATCACACACATATATCCCGCGTAATCTATCCGCCAACTCTTATCAGTGATCACCCTCTTCAAATAATAAACCACCTCCAACACCATCACAAAATGCGCATATCAGATTTACATCTACACTTGTCCGAGTTCCCCTCACTGGCAAGCCTTGATGCCGCAGACGTATTCCAATTCGTTACGGTCGCTAGCCACTTCATTTCAATCAATCAAGGATCTATACCAATTGACGAGGACAATGCCCCGTACGAATATCTCAATGCTGCCCTCCGACCCCCAGAAGTACCCGGCACATGGGAGGTACTATGGACGGTCTTGTACCCTACTCTATTCACATCGCACGCGGATCCTCCAAAGCAAGTACGAGACAAAGGCCTCATTCAAGCAGCCGGCGCGCCGACCATTGCCGAAAGAATATTCTTGCCACCTTACCAAGATGAATGTCCCACCGCAGAGTGCCGTGTCACTGGACGCCGATTGGAAAAGCGCCCCCCTTTATGCGGGTACCTCTACGACCTAGACGGAGTCAAGTCAATTCGGCACCATACTACATATTGCCGCCGTGAGTTTTTCATATTCATAATACAAACCCAGTCGACGGCAGCTCATTCCCCAATCCCCTCCTCGCGTCAGACTGCAAGACCAGCTTCAGGGCTTTGTACTTTTCCAACAAGGACGAACGAACTTACTACTTGAACACCGTCAGAAGAGATCCAGACTGCATACAAGTCAACATGCACTATTTTATGACTCTCTGGCTGCTTGAGTTTTTCAACCACTCCCAATCCCTAGCTCAGTAAGTACAGACATTCACATTCATGAGGTTTAATCACATAAACTAATCCCCATACAGCGTTTCAATATACAACTTGGTAACCATTTACAATAGTTCTCACAAGCTGCATGAGCCGGCACCCAATCACTTTGTTGACGAGTTTTTCAAGCCCACGCTGTCAGACCACTGCTGCACCACAGCGTTGGATCTGCAGCGGCTACTCCGCCACTTCAACCTCCGCGACCGGCATATGACCGTTTCTAATTCAGGAGGGTCCCGACATTGATTCCGTGAAGCTAAACAGGCCATTTTAACATGGATGGAACTCAAAGGCAGCCCGAACCTCGATTACATGTGCTCTGAATGCACCGAGATCCTTGAAGATCCCAACGTACCCGGCGGCGGCTTGGGTAAGTAACAACACTCATTGATTGAACCAACAACGACAGGTGAACCACGGAGCTGATCTTACACCATTGCTCACCCAGCTCTTCGCGCAATTGCCATGGACGGCATTACCATCGGGCATCCACGATGCAGTGCCACGAAGGAGCAACTGATATCTATGAACCCGCTGATATCTAACCCACCGCCGTGCACAGTCATGCTTGAGACCCCAAAAGATTGATATTGCCCAGTCCACAGCCCAATCCTTGGCAAACTATGCCATGCACAACCTTGCACGCGCGACGCAATAGGCACCACCAAGGCATGCGACATACCAGAGCACCAAGAAGCAATAGCGATTCGACACGAGAAGACACACCGGTCTCGAGCTGCTCTGGCTTTCAACCAGCGAACTGGTGCAAAATTGCCCGAGGACCCAACTGCCGCCCTCAACGCTGACACAGACGCCTTCAACTTAGATGCGTTGATTGAGACAGACGAGTCAGATCAAACGCACGAAGCAGGTCGCGACGGAGAAGATACGTTTTGACCTGCAGCAATCCAGAAGAAGCCATTATGCTCAAATGCCAAGACGCACAATGACCTACTGTTTGTGGGTACTTGCGGTATAACCCTTGCCAGAGAGACCATGTATCGTGCAGAGTCTGTCATATTGGTTCGGGTGAGTCCAGTTGAACCTCAACCATGACCTTGATATTTGGCAGTATACAGATTCTCATACATTTGACTAATCAGGAAATACTGGAAAGAAAATTCCCCGTTCTACCGCCAATACAATTCTTGGATAATTCATGCACGTTTGATAAATCACTCAGGAAGGACCCCGAGGCGTCGGAACGGCTGAAGGGCACAATCCGGCCGGTCGATCCATTCCACATGCGCACTCACTCCGAGAAAGATGCTCAGTGCCGTAAGTTAAATGACCCGAAGCGGTGGTCCTTCCTTAAGAAACCTGATGGCAATTGGAGGTTTAATGGGTCTGCAGCCGAGATTACTAACGCATGGTATGGCGGTTTTCTCTCAATTTGCCGTGGAATGCACGAGATCAACTACAGGTTCTTTCTGGAGGAGATGATCCGTGTGCGAAATGATTCGCTCCTCTCGAAGCTTGTAAAGAAAACTACATTTTGCTGTAATATTCCCTCGCATCTTGCCCAACAAAGTCCTTTCCCACTTTCACTTTGATACCGCTACTCCATGTTTCTTCCTATATTTGTAAATCTTCAATTGTTACCTTCTTGAACTCGCTGCCATGCGTAAACCTTATGTGTCTCGTTTCTTTTTGTATCGCCTGCATCTCCCACTACCTTAGCCGGAATTTATTACTTGTTTGATAATTACGATTTATGTCGTGTGTCCTCCGATTGACGCGAGCACACGCGAGTACTTACCATATTGCCAAGCCCTGCCAAGCTACCCTTACAATCATAAACGCACATTCGGTTAGGGAGATAGATAGATATATATGTCGCTCTCATGCCAATAAGAGAAGTCCAAAGTGACCTCACCAGTGTCATTAATCCCCTCTTAAATATTTACCATACCGCACAAACCTCAATCAATAATATGCCCTCACCAAGTGACCCAAATCTTTCTATTATCATAAATCCCAGCGCAAAGAAGCATGAACATGCGACCAAAGAGCACGTTTTGAACACCACACATCCACGGTCCCTCAACAAGTTGAATGAGGTCAATCACACAGTCTCAGGTAAGACTTTGTATCTCGTCCATCACTTACAAAACCGATCGTTGATTACAAAGCAACGTAGAAATGGGTCACAACCACGAAGCCAATGTTGAGGACGTGGTGGCTCATGTCCATTCCGACAATGACAACTCAGATAACGATAATGAGGCGAACCAGGACGTACAAGTCCATAACGATTCGTCCGAAAATAACTCTTCAGGTATAGCCATCAATCCAACCACCACCTAACTAATACCTCACTCACGTCCAAATTCCTACATACATTACATCCCAATGATCTACGTAGACAACCACGATGACACGGATGGGACGTTGGGTAAGTATGCCATTCCTCATAGCTATGCCGCCTGTTCATCTCATCATTTTGCCCTTTTTAGATGCACATTCCTCCGGCGGTGAAAGGACTCTCTACTACGAAACTATAGAGGACATGCGTGGTACCGTAGAAGGACGCATCTACCGTTTGTTCGACGCCAGCTTCAGCCGAAACATCCCTGCTTACAATCCGTATGAGTGGTTGAATTTTATGAAACATAAAGTCTCATACGTGATCAAGCGACCCGTAACTTTGCCACCCAGAGACCATGGCCATTGGGTGGCTAGAAGGGTCTACATAGAAGAACACGAAGAGCTTTGTGGCATGTATATTGTCAAACACAACTTAGAATGGACTCAGAACGGCAGAGCCCACTGTTTCGAGCGTCTTCAATGTCATCGCTTTGCTGCCATGATGTTGCCAGCTTTTTGCCAATCTATTCGCATCCACAAAGACAGAAAAGAACACAAGCGCGGAACGCCCAACGATATGCACCGGGCGATGTATTCAGAATCACAGGGGTTGAAGGTATTTTCACTTGACTGTATATCATATCATCACTTGGTCCTTCCTCATCCTCCCTCCGTTCATTAGCTTCCAGCAATGTCGGTCATGCAGACTCTAGCTCATCTATTCGACATCGACGATAATCTGCGATGGGTAATTTGCGAGGCCGAATCCGACGCAATCACCTCTCACCAATTCATTGAGGAGGATAACTTTCAAAACTTTCCTCAGGCAAAGATGACTTGGACAGAGCTTATATTCGCTTGGGTTCATTATACTTACGAGGTAACTGGGAGACGCACACTATTTACCAGTCTCGAATGTAATGAAGAGGACCATATAACGAATATAGTTATGGCTACAAAAGGGTCAGTCTACTGAAAGTTAAACTCTCTCAATCAACTTATGTTTAAAAACGTAACTGATGTACTCCCTCTAATCCGAGTGCACTAGGAATCCACCACACTGCAACGACAGCGCGGAAATGCTAGCAAAAATCAACCGTGCCTTCATCAAGTTTTCTGAACAACACAATTGCAATAAAATATGTGAACATTTATGTCTCACCAAGTTTAAAAGGAACCAAGGAAGCGGAGGCAAGCAAGGTGATTCGACGGATATTATGCGTCTCAGTCCCTAAATTGCCTGATGTATAGTGATACATATCCATAAATGTTTATTCGCACTGAAATTTTTTTTCATATTACATCGTATTACAATATCATATCTTATCTATTCTCCTTCTCCATCCAACAAAGTCGCGGTTATACAATGCATGTTGTACGTTATTGATCGCGCGGATGTCTTCCCGTTATCTCCAAACGGATATCAAACGGTAAAATGTTACAATTTAGGTAACTTCGTGTAAGTTATTGTTATCTATGTGTATCGTATAGCCATATCCATCTACGCGCAAATGTATCGTCGTATTTTGGTATTCCTGAGTTATACATAACAATCACGTCACGCCAAACTTCGCTCAGACTTACATACATGAGGTAACCTTAGACGGTTATCCAATCACGCTGTTGATGTTGAAGATGGAACGGTGATCAGATATTAAGTTTGGTGCCGTACCAATTCCTTGGTTGGTTACAAACAAACAATATCCTAACGGCGTCAGTCGCGCGTGACTGACGCCATTGTGATGAGTCATGATCGGCTTCTTCAAGTGTGATCGTGTGAAGGTTAAAATATATATCATACAATTATATTGATTTTGTAAATAACCATATCAGTATCAACCCGCAATGCAAAGGCAAACTCCAATCGGTCGCTGGAAAACGTGAGTGATTCTGATTATAAACAACGTTTAACACTGCCCTCCCTCACATCTGATTGCGAATTTCTTTGGATGTTTGACCATAATATGTGGTCAGTATGAGTCAGTAAGCTGCTATGCTGCTACACGGATATGAAAGGTTGTTATTGAAACTCACATCCTAACTAATGGTCGATCTAATCTCCTCATAAACTCATATCAAGTCGTCCAAGCAATCGCGTCGCGTCTCCTCTTCTCAATGTTGTAGGATGTTGACTGACTGAAACGTGTTCGCTTGTAGCATAGAATGTGTGAATATAAATAGATATCATCTCTCCGTTACATTGTTGCGCTCAGTCGTCCTTCTCCGTGCCAGTTCAGTTATAGTGACCCTATAATATATCATCCAACTAACTCTTCCCAATATCTAAGAATCACAAACCTAATAGTATTGTTCATCTATCCAAACCGTCGCCTCGTTTTCAATCTCGTTATGCCACCTACTCGCAGCATCAAGAATCATCCCACCCCGCAACAGTTAGCGTGGTTCAAGGGTCTAGATGCGCGCTCAAAGACGGAGATATTCCCCTTACCGATTACCGACAAGGCGCACCCCTGTGTTAAGGCTGGTATACCCCAATGCTTCAAATGCGGCAAACTTGGACATATGATGCGTTGCACCAGCCGCATTAAATCGGGTGGTGCCCATTTTAATGATTGGCGTCGCACCCGAAACGGCCTGTCATATAGCTTAGACAAACTATATATGAAGCCAGAAGATCTTGCGAAGGCGAGCCTCGCAGACGCCTTCGGTAAGGCACTTCAGCTCATCGATTTTGTTGACGCGTGCTTATGCTAATCAAACCGGATTGTAACTTACTACATAGATGGTGACGATAACGTTTGGACGCGTGAGGTTATGGACCACCTAGACGCGGTGGAAAAACGCGGTAAGTCATTGTAATGAATATTGCACGCCACGTAATACTCATATAATTGTGTTGGTTTCGTTCCATAAAGCCTCGCAGGGCGTCCTGGACCCTTGTAAATCACCTGAGAGTCATCATAACAAGACTTTTGGAGGCAAAATCGGAGAACATGTTGTGGAAAAACACGATGCATCAAAGATCCACCGTAAGTCCTTTATTATAGGTGAGCAAATTTGGATGACCATGCTGATTGATGTAACTATAGCCTTAGTGTCCCAGCCCGATACTAGTGTGATTTTTTTGGGAAGCATTACCTTCCCAGACGCAGTTGCGTCCAATGGAAGCGGCGGAAAGTCCTTCGTGAGTGGCAAATTGTACTTTAGCGTCCAATGTTGATGATTTCTGACATCACAATTTAATAGGCGGAACATTACGACCCAACCTTGCTTTGATCAGTCAGTCCGGTTGTACTTTCAACATAGTTTAAGGTTTTAAGGTATCATTTAGTTTCATGTTTGATTGGCTCGATTGGCAGAGGAATAAGAAGTCATATGAAGGATAAATTGAGTTATCGGTAGTGATCTGGAGTGCTCAAGATGTATTATTGATAAGATATTATATACACGAAGTGATCGGTAGTGATCGTTAGTGCTAAACATGTATTAGTGATAGTATTATATATATATGATGATAGGAAATACGAGTTCGGAAGTGACTGAAATGCAATGATGTATACTTTGATGGCAATTGCACATAACCCAAAAGGATTGGCACTAGTGATTTTGTGTCCTCAGTCAGCTTAGCGTATTTGCTCGGTGTGATAATGCTACCTTGGGTGTGATGGTATAAAACCAAACACCCCTCTATAGTTGAGGTCCATCTGCAACTCGTACTTTATCATGCCATCTGTCAGCCCCTTACCAGCTTCTGATGAAGCTGCCTTCTCCGAAACTACTTCAACGCAAAATGACGCCGCTACGTCGGTGATCTCCACCCCTTCCATAGTATCTACCGACATTTTCATTGAAAACCCCCCAATTAAATCGCCTACTTCCGTCACCGCGGTGCATGGTTCTGTTGAAACTGCCGGTGAAGAAAGCCGTTATCCAGATCCAGTTGACCAAGCACGTTCTGGACAATTGATTCCGACTTCCCGAACTATGATCAAGGTCAGGGCTCGTCCTGCTGTGAGACACGGCCCATCGCAAGGTGACCTTCTTTCATGTCCCATCCCTTATCATTTTCTTGTTTGACTCACAATTGTATCATTTGAATGCCGTCACATATATGTTTTGTCCACCCTGGTTTAGAAGTAATAGGTCATGGTGCTGTAATATGTGTATCCCTTCCGACTCGCATCTTGACCTGGCGACCTGATTTACCTTCTAAATGTGTGGCATTCATTTATCGTTGGGACACCTTCTACAACGAGAACTGTACCAAACCAACCTACGTTCCGGACAGTTGCGATTCTATTTCAGAATCAGTCGCAGTCTACCAAATCGGAAGTAGTGTTGATTTATCAAAAACACGAGATATCAATGAATGGTCTGTTCGGGAGATGCAAGGGAACGGTGTTGAAATGCCGTATGCAGGCATTGTAAGGTTTCACCATTGTTGGTCCTTTTATGCTAAGGCCGGTAGAGAGACCGCTGTCGAACTGGTTAATGCTCACGCTTATGTTGAGGCCATGCTTCAATTATTCAAATTGAGTTTGTGCCAATTGTGGGAGGAGCAAAAACAACCTGAAGATGCATTAGCTATGGAGTTCCGCGATTGGTATTTTCGCACGTCGGTTTTACACGTAAGTGTTGGTCCTTTGTCGTTTGGCATCGTCATCTAACTGCATTGCAAGTCTGTATATAGGTCCCTTGTGTTTCTTTGATACAAACGATCGGTCAACTTGATGATGACGTGCCTTGTTGGATGATATGCGAAACTGCCCACCACCCAACCAGTAAACGATATGTCTACCCGTCGTGCTTCAGGGACTCTATGCCCGCTTCAGATCCTTGGAAAGCTATAATCTTCGCTCTCATTCATTATGTTTATCAAAAGAGTGGAGGAGTCACTCTCTTAGCTCAAGTCGACTGTGACATTTCGGGAATTTTGACAAATATTGTCTGTTTCAATAAATCGTAAGTTTTGTACTATGATAGCTTGCTATTTCCTGCTGCTATTTCCTGCTTACAGACGACGGTTCGATCAATCTGGTGATGTGCAGCTCGTACTATTTGAAGAATAGCGAAGAAATGGACATGCCATTTTTTGACTTCAGAGGGGGGCATCACTGTACCCAAATATGCAACAAGCTCGGCCTTGTACGTTTGGTGTTGTGATGTGATCGTACAATTTTCCGCCAGACACTTGTTCTTGCCTTGCTAGCTTTTGTATGTTTATCTTTGCATAAAGGTGTCGGTAAAGTTAGCTCATCCTTCCATCCTTCCAGAAGGCGGCCTTCAGTTTAGACTAGTATTCTTTCTTACATTCTCACTGGTACTCCTTTGCCATAAATATGTAGTATTTGCGTGTCATTGACATCTTTTGTTGTCTCTGGGGTTATTACTCAGCTGCATTGCGTTGTAAATGAGGATCATATTGACACAAGAATCATTGAAAGAGGAAATAACATCTTTGAACAACTATTGACACTAAATTGAGTAATAAACATGGATGACACATTATGTTCGAGAAAAAAAAATAGGGGGAACATCACGACTAAACAACTTAGTTTCCATAGTTAGTATGAGAGATGGTGATTGTGATAGGTTGAAAATAAAGGCCTCAGTTATGGAATTGACTACATAGCAAATGGAATGACATGATGATAGAAATGACAGGGTTCAAGAAATAATGGGAAGAACGTGATCATCATCGTGCTTCCCCTAATTGTTTAGCAAACCAAATTGGAGATTTGGCTGTGCCAAACATGGCAGCAACATTGTGACGGTCACAATGCTTCAAAAATTCTTCCCATTTCTCTGGGGTGACATCTCTGATCCACCGTATGTAGCGATACATCGCAGAACGCTCATATACATATTCTTTCCCGAAGAAAGATTTCCATACTCCCTGCTTACCTGGCGTGGCCTTGTGTTTTGAATACCATTGCAGCATAGTTTGCATGGGAATGTCGCTGGATGGCCACTGTTGAATAGTTGAATCATCAGATAAATATATGATCGGATAGATATAAATAATAGATACACATACCAGACCGGTGGTTTCCGTCCGCCTTTTTGTGACTGGGCCAGGAGCCGAGGTGACCGCCTCCGCCGTGGGAATATGTGGTTGATTGCTGGCCGCTGGTGCACTGTCACGAAGAGCAGGATGCTCACTGATGGAAGGGGGTGAACTGCTGAACGAAATGTCCTCATTTGCAGCTACTACATCGCCGGTGGAAGGTGAGATGATTTTTGATACTGGAGGTATAGGTGTAGGGCTTGGTGGTTCATTGAATATGTTGCGAGAGAATTTTGGTCCTCTGACTGCAACGACCTCGATCTCAGGTTCTTCGACTGTGTTGGCACCATGGTGGATTGTGATCAAAAGCGAAGGTGTTGGTTCATCTGCATTTGGAGGGGTTTTGCGGTGTTTGGAAGCAACGGGCATTGGCGAATTGTTGCTCCCGTAGGAGCTGGAGGAGCTTGTTGCTGAGCCAAAACTTGATTGAATGGTGTAAATTCGATTGTTGTTGGGCGTCTGGATGGGTGTTGCTTGGAGTGAATCAACTGTGGCTCGGATGTTCGACCTAACTGCTGGGCTGAGCCTGGCTTGAAGTGGTGGCAGACCTTGGCACAACTTCGGGTCCACTGTGGACAAGCAGACCAACGCTTCGCGAAGCGGGTTCAACATAGGTATTGATGTTTCGACCAAGGTGAAATTCTAAACATATAAAGGGAGGTGAATATCAATCATGTTTCTTCGGAGTAAACGTAGACAAATTGAACTCACCCATCTGTCTGATCTGGCGTCGTACACACGCAGTAACTTGTTCCAATGAGGATCGTATGTTTTAAGAAAAATCATCAATGCTTCACACTCGGATATCGCAAATTGCTTCATGGATTTGGATGCAAACATGAAGGGGATTGGATTGTCTTCCGCCTGCAATAAACGCTTGTAAGACTTGTGAACTTGATCTGAAGGAAGGTATTGGAAATGGTGGGTTTATACGCTGGCGTACCTTCAACCATAACGATATAGAGATGTTTTTGTCGCATCTTGCGTCGGCCTCCTCTGCTGCTCGCTTTGCTTCCTCTTCATTTGATCGGTTGAGGTGGTACATGCGCATAGTAGAAGGTGATAGAACCAAAGGATGCAGCGGTGGGGCCGGCCCAAGTAAGTTCGCATCGTTAATTTGCGAGCTGGAATTGCTGTCATGGTTGTTTGTCGCGGGCGTAAGTCCAATGTTGCTAGTTTCTGCGGTTTCAATGACGGTATTAAGGAAAGGTTGGGTGTTTGGTATGACGTTCTTTGCACGCTCCCCGCTTTCGTGTGTGTGGCACTTTGATCCAGTTGCATCTCGCTGAGATCGGCAGCACTGCATGTCATAGATTATAAGATTACACGTTCATCAGCTCAAATGTCTTTCGGTGTTGTAGAGGTCTTCACACTTACATCAGTACACGCTTGCCATTGGCATTGGCGATTGCTGTGCTTGGATTTTCCTTTGTGAGTAACTACCCCGTCTATTCCCGCACATGGCAATTGCGCTCGTTTATTGTCAGGCATCGATTTATTATTGTGGTGATGGTTTATTCTCTTGTGACGCTGAACTGAAGGACTGGAATGTTGTTCTTGATCATTGGCTGGTTTGTCGGATGAAGGGTCAGTTGCGTGATTCAATGTGCGAATGTCCTGAATGAAATTTAAGCGATTATATGTGCGAATGGAGCCACCTTGGAATGGGCACTGGCAGAGACACATATGGGGATAATATTAGATATTACCCAGCCGATAATGAAAGATTAGTCAAATGCAGCGTACCTTGATACCGATTAAAGGCTTGTTGGGTTGATGGCGAGGATTGTAATACTTCGAAGAGTGGATGGGTTTGAGTCTGCAACTAAGACCAGAACAACAAAAGCCTGTTGATTGACCGTTTTTGACCTGTAGCTGACTGTGTGGATGAAGCCGACGTTCATAAATGAGGTTAGGATAATGTAGTACAAGATTGGTGGGCATTGAAAACACGGTCACAAACAGACCGTGGTTTAAATTGATAGTGAAATTGAAAAAGTAGGTGGTTGCGAATGTTTAATTGGCCAGAGCGCAGCTCCTTGATAATGCGAGGTTCAACTGGTTGAAGCGGTAAAGAAGGAGAAGACGGCGGTGGCATTATATTTCTTCTTGCTGCGCGTTTGGTGTGAAGATAAGGACATGCTCGACCAAGTTTGGGCCGTTTGTTAAACCTTCGAGGGTTCTCGGTAAAGTCGTCAAGGAGGGTTAATAACGCCCTCTTTTGTAGTTTGGATATTGTTGAGGTGGCCATTGGTGCTCGTTTTGTCAGACGTTTTCACATATTTAATCGTGGTTTGGGAATCGTGGTCCGCTATGGCGCTGGATTGGGAGTGCGGTATTGTGATAGGTGGGTATCCCACTGCGTCAAACGCGTGTGGATCATCTGTCCGACGCAAAGGTTTTACGAGTTCTCAGGCTCGTGTGACACTTGCTATGACAGGTTCCTAGGGGGGTGTTAAGGAACTTTCTTTTGGGAACGTTCCCTAGTTCCGCGGATGCGACCATGCCCTCAGTTCACTTTAGCTTAACACAAGCCCTCTCTGCGCGGCCCGCGGACGTGGCCGCGCAGAGAGGGCTTGTGTTAAGCTAAGAGTTCACTGCATATGTATTGCCCAATGCCCATGTTCATGATACCAGTGTCGCCTGACATTAATGGACATACAAGATGAGGAATAATTATGCATCCCGTTGAAGTTAACAAAGTCCCTGATGATACTTACTTTGAGTAGCCTTCTAACATCTTTTTACTTTCTACCTCGTCTGATTGTATATGTTAGTCATCAGGTAGTCTATGACGTGAGGTGATAGAGACTTACCTCTAGCAATTCTCACGGGACATCTCAGAAACGACGGATTTGAGGCTTTTCACCTGTCTCAGAACAATGAGCGAGTCGTCAATAGATGCCAGCTCCATTGCATCATCATTTATGGAGTGTCGAAGCAAATTACGCGAAGAAATAAGACTTTGAGACTCAGGCAGAGTTCGATTATTCCCTTTTCCCCCTCAGCTGCTCAAGGAGGATGAGGTCTCCTTTATCATCTGCCCGCTGGAATATGTTAAAGTGACCATAGGACAAAATTAATACAAATCTCTTATTCGTCTTCCTGTTTACCATCTGGTTGAAAGAAAGAGTCAAAAATTTAGGAAGACCGATCATGAGCTGAAGTCACTAACCATCGCATATACTCATTTCATCACTCCTGTTGAAAGGTTTATTGTTATCTTCATCTTGAATATAACAACATTTTTCATTTAGATTGTATACATCGTCTCATAGCAAAACGTATGATCGATCAAGAGTCAAGACAACCTTTGAGGGCTAAATGTACCAATCTAAGCAAGTCTACCTTCGGTCGTCTGGTGATGACCCGATTATCACCTGTTCTCCTTGTCCACGACGAGCATTGAAGATCAAGTACAAATTCGAATCACTGCTACGGTCAAGTTAATCAAACTCATGGATCTACGCGTAAAACTTTGTTGAAAATCAGAGGACTTGATCGGATGTTCCTTCCCCTCTGCCCACCACTAATCAGTTTCCTCAAGCTATCGGCAAAAAATGCCCGGAGGATCCCAGTTAGTCGTCACACTACAGTATGCCTTCAATACCATCGCCGTAAGCATCACCCATGATACCAGATTTGATGCACATCTTCATCTATGCTGATGGTATTATCCCTCAAGTGTATTTCTGTCATTTTGATCGCAGCAATGCTGTTGGCCATCTTTCGGTCCAAGAAGAAGCGACATCCTATCATCCTGGGCTTCCTCATCACCTCTTGGTTGGCAGCTTGGGTTGCTCTTCTTCCTTTCTTTGGAAGTGTTTGGTGAGTGAGACTTGAATAAGAATGCATTCAGCATTATTAGTACTTGACTAAAGATTTGGGCCACAACCTTGATCGGAAAAACAATCTCATAAATAGGGATTATTGTCTTGAAAGACCTGTTAATTATGCAAATGGTGAGATCAAAGCTTTACCTGACATAGATGATGTGATAAAAAGTGATAATCTTGGAATATCCATGTAGTTCCGGCAGGACCTGTGAGGACAATATGTAACGTGAATGCAGTGCTACTGGCTTACCTCTGGACCGCTATTCCAGGGTAAGTGTTGACCTATTTGACAACTTTTGAACCAATGATGAGTGTGACTGAGTTTTGCTTTGGACCAAACCCAATAGTTACAGTTTTGTCTTCGCTAGCGAGATTCTGCGATTACTAATTGAATTCTGGAGATTGACAAAGAAAGGTGATCAACTGACAGTTGTACCACTGCCAGTTAGCCTTCCAAAGGACGATCAACTTGATGAACAAGACCTTGAACTCAAACTCGATTCTGAAGACGATTTGGCGGAATCCATCCACGAGAGCATTTCTTCATCCCAACGAACACGCAATTCAACAGCCAGCCGTCTTATAAGAACCTCCAGGAAGGCATGGTTGGCGATATGGCACGAGAGAAATAAGCAGCGGCTGGCCGCTGTTATCCCACTCTTTACTGCTCTACCCGCCGTATATATCGTGATTTATCACCAGGTCTTGCTCAAATGGAGATTTGTCAATGGTACAGCACCTCTCGTTTGCTTCCATGCATCATTGAAACCTGTTATCATTAAGCAGATATTTTTATGCTTCCATTTTTCAGCCACTCAATTTGGATGTAGAGTCCCTAACTTACAGGCTGCCAACGTGCGTGCCATTATCCTTTTGATCCATCTTGGCACTGCTTGTGTCATTGGAGGTAAGCAAACTTGGCTCATTATGACATAGCCATCTGGTGGTCAATATCATCAAAATCCAAACCAACATCGCCGCTGAGGTTTTTTTTATTTTTTGAATAGCCATTGCCTTGATAACCTACGTCATGATTCGTATAAAAATGTCACAATTCCTTCAAAGGGGATTACATTTGGGATTGCTGTGTCGACTACTGCTCATGTCGCTGCTAACTGGGTAAGTGTTTTCTCTGGTTGAAGAGCCAGGAGTCTTCCTTGTGCTTGACTAGCTATTCAACGTGTTGCTGTAAACTATGAGGCTGACGACGTGTTTTTTATCGGGATATGATGGGCTCAATTCAGGATCGGTGCAGAACTTGAGTGGACAGTAACCTATAAACCGGCATTTAGGCCTTCTTCAGTCTATCTTACACCCATGTACCTCATCACCTTTCCCTTCTTAGGAGCTTTAATATTCATCGATGATTCCATCCTTGAAGTATGGAAATCTTGGCTCAAGTTTCCTTTCAAGAAGCGTCCGATCACCGAAACCTGAGTATCTTATCAACTCATCCTAATTAATATAACCGGAAACCCCTTTCAAAATCTGTGGGTCCATCTCCTTTGCGGACAATTTGAATTTTATCCTGACTCTGTACTACTACTACAAGGAAATGCGAGACATGTTATTTTCGGACTTCATTCACTGTTAAACTAAATAAAGACCAAGTAGGTCCTGACTTGGTTGACATGTGACCACACGGAATGCGTCATTGCTACTACATAATAAAATAGGGAAACAAAGCCAGGTGACTGGTAGAAATCACAAGTTAGTGATTCAGGAGAGCGCTACGGCTATAATCATGACGTGAGAGTGTTAAGAGACAGAAAAGGCACCTGGTAGGAATCACAAGTGAGTGATTTAGCAGAGCGCTACGGCTATAATCACGTGAGATTGATAAGAGAAAGAAAAGGCACCTGTTGGAAGGTGGCGAGTGAAAGAAGACAAATGGTTGAGCGAGGAAACCATGGTGGACACACTCAACAGCTTCAGTTATAGTAATCTAACTCTAGACACAGGTTAACGGTCTTTAAACATCATTGTGACTCTCACACGCTGCATTGGGTTTAGCTGATGCGATGTTGTGAGGCATGGAACAAAAGAGCAATGGAACAAAAGAGCAATGGAACAAAGAGGAATACACAAGAACGTTCAATGCAGATAAGCAGTCAGGGTTAGTATGGTTACTAATTATGTAAGAGAAAAGGGCACGAAACTCTTGCTCAAATATATAATATTTACTCGAACCTCAATTCTTGCAAGAATGAACGTAAATTGTACTCCTGATATCACCTTTCCTCGTCCTTGCACCACCCAGTCAAGTATATGATCAAGTGCATACATCTCTTGCGCAGCGGTTGGCTACCAATTTGAGAATGATCCAGTAAGAATGGGAATGAATACATCTATGCAAGCTGCAAAGATAGTTAATTATACGTGACGAATATCTGTGAGAAAGTGAAGAAGACTGGTAACTAGTACAAAAGAACACGTGCACCAAGCAAGATAACATTGTGAGATCAAAAGTCTAAACTAGTCAATTGTTTAACATCATTCTTGACTTTACTTCCCCTCTGTTTTCCCACACTTTTTACACTCTTCTTTGAATGATGTTTACGTTGGTTGGAGAGCCGAGTGCGTTCTAATTTGTTAGCAACCATTGTTGTCAATTGATCATGAGTCAAAACCGTCACTTTCTTTCTTCTGACTTCTGCGGTTACTGAGACTTTATCGTCCGCCCTTGAAACCGCGGATTCATTATCTCCATTTGTCGAACTTTGGTCTTGAGACTCATTTCCGTCTAGCTCTTCCTCTGAAGCCGATTCAGTATTTTCGTCAGCTCGTTCAATAACGTCCTCTTCATTCTCTTCTGACTCAATATCGTCCTCATCTTCCTCCTCATCCTCCTCATCTGAAACATCGGTTTCTTCCTCCTTGACAAGCTCCATATATTCTTCAAGCTTCCGACTTTCTCCTTTACCCCATCCACTTGCTGCCACCTCTACATCCAGATCCATCACTCGCTTTCCTTCTCGCACTACAGAATTAAAACGTGGGTATAGCTTTGACTGATACCTAAACCTACGAAGGAAAAAGGCACGGATACACTCTACATCCCTATTAAAATAACTATGAAAGAAGTTATATGTAAGTATCGAAGAATTCAAATCATAGGCTGAGAGAAAAAAAGGCGTACAACTCTGCATTTTCGTGTTCAGTGGATACCATTTGAGGGAAATCAATCAGGATAGGTTCGGCCTTCTCATCCCCTTCAGAAGTAACGATGAGAATATTGAATTCATTGAAATCTCCATGAATGAGACCGACTTCAGCTAGTCGAACGATCAAATCCATGAGCTGAGAGTAGAGTCGACCGGGATCTGCTAGCTCGTGAATTTGACGAAGTGGAAAGGCGTCAATGAGTGACATGACTACACAATGTCGAGCCTGATCAATCGGCTCGGGAACGGGAAATCCATTATCATAGAGGACCTAGTTTGAATGATGGATATCGTAATAACTTGTTAGATAACTGTTAATATATTCTAATCGAAAGAAAGGAAGAGTGATCACCTTCATAAAGGCAAATTCTTTTTGAGCAGCTAATCGACTCATATACATCCAACTTGCATTCCTTCTTTTTTGTAAATAATCTCGTTTTGATTTGATAGCTCTAAAACTAATTCGACCTAATCTATGAATTTTTAAAACTCTTTGAAGTCCATCTTCGGTTGCAACTACATAAACGTCTGCTTCTTTTCCAACACCAATTTGATTACCAACACTATGAATTGAATTTCTTTTTGAAAATGCACGTATAGCTAGAAAATCATAACCTCCATATGTAAGTCGATAACCTTCATCTGTCTTTCATTGAATTCAAAATCAAGTATCAGTATTCATGGCCCATTCGAAAATAAAACCAAGTATTACGAACACTTTGCATTTCTTTCACGCTTTACTAATCCTCGTTTTGAGAGTTCACTAATACATTTGTTTACCCCACCGTTTCGTAATCCACTAATATTGGCTATCAAACTCGATGGTACTATCTCGTGATTCTTTGATCCCATTTCAACTGCAGTAAGAACCCGAAAAGTATCTTGAGAAAGATATCTTAAATCTGTTGCGTCTAACTTCATCTTTGCTTTTGTTTAGTGAAGTGAGGTGTTGGTTCTTGATATCCTTGAACTTGAGGTCGAGACGGACTGGTTCGATTTCATTCACCACCCAAATTTTTAAAACTTCGATCCCGCAGCTGTAAAAAATAGCATGGGTGCATGGGGTTACATGTGGAACATGTGATTACTACAGGTGCTGTGTTGTAACTTGTCTCTACATATGAGTTTAAACTTTTGGTAACTTTCAGATCAACACGGCGGAAGACAACACTAACGCTGCAGACATCAACTCGAAAGAAAGCAATACAAACAGCAAACGATGGCATCAGCACTCAAAGCACAACTTCAACGAACAGTTCAGAGTTGGCAAACCTATGGACGAGCTGGCAAGTCTTATCTCTTTGACACTTACGATCGAACAACCTCTTTACGACTCTTTCCGATCGATATCAAGTTTATGAAGCACAGCGAAACTTATTTTGTTTCTTGAATGTGGGAGGAATAAATTTTAGTGGTGAAGATGGATCCACTTGGTGGAGAACCAGCACTTAGGCCTTTACCCATCTTTGAACTCACTCGACCTTCAGACTTACAACAATTCGCGATTGGTTCAGATGCAGACGTAGGTGGTTTATCAACAGTGCAACTGGCAATTGAAGAAGGATCGGGATCAGAATCAGATATGAGACCTAGAGGAGTATTCAGGGGAGTTTTGAAGAACGAATTAGGACCTACGGCTGAAAAGGCGGGTGTCATCAAACGAGGTGGATATGCTGGATTCCGTACAAAGGTAGGCCTTCAATTCTCAAGTCTGCCTTGAAATCATTTTGGATCATGGGAAAGTGATTTCATTTTTCACATTTGAGGTATAGGTAAGAAAAATGCTTTTTGGGGAACAAACTTGGAATGCGGATCATCATCAATTCTTGAGATTAAGAGTCAGGAACTCTGGGGATGAAATGAAGTATTACGTTAATATACAAACAGAAGGGCCTAGTAAGAATTTTTGATTAACTTTTTTTGATGATCGGGATTTGAAGGTTCAATATACGTTCTTATGTTCTTTTTTCGTTTAGTTTCAACTGATATTTTTCAACATCGACTGTGGTTAGGTAAAGTAGGGGAATGGGAAGATGTACTGGTAAGTCCTACCTAAATCATCATACCTCAAAAGTTCAACATCAAAATCTGATCTTCTTTTCAATCTTTTAAAAAGATACCATTTTCAAATTTTGCTCTTACCAATAAAGGAGAAGTGATGAAAAATCAATTTGAAATGCCAAGAGATGAGATTCGTACGATTGGAATCTCTGTATTAGAAAAACCTGGTGTTTACGAACTTGGATTAGAAAAAGTTGATTGTGTTAGTGAGATTGGATTGAAATTGGAAAAAGAAGGCAATGGAGAAAAAAGTTAAAAGTCGATTTCGAATCACATGTGCTTTAACATCCTATATGTATGAATATTAATGATTTGGTAAATATTTATGTATCGTTATAACTTGAGGGTGTCTATTCATGTTGGAAGAGCAGTGAGCATTCATATAGTTCTTTCACTGCTGTCATATTCCGAGGTATTATCGGATTTTGATCAGATACTGAATTGTTTGACAATTTCAACTTTTGAATCGTGATCATTCACTACTTGATAGATGATGACGCAGTTATCGGGAGATCTTTCTGGCTACGATTTACATTCCATTCCTCACAATCTTCAAGCTACTGACGTCCCTACAAAGCTTGTCCACCTTTCCCCGCCAAACTGCTCGAGTTTTGCGGGAAAACTTGGACAAGCTTTGTGGGAACGACAGTACCCATTCCTCCCTCGATTTCGCATCTTTTGCGCATCATCACATTGTCAGTCAGATTCAGCATCTATCTGCAGGAGAGAGCAAACTTGGTTTGTAGGGTCGCGACATCTCATGACCTCATCCCATTGTCCCCTCATAGGCAGCCAAGTCCCATCTTTACGGGCTCTAGGAGCATCCCCCATGATCCTATAAGTATTCACATAAGAAGTATGACCAATACATTAATTTGACCTTTTAGCGACACGAAGCACCCACCTGTGGAGGCACCAGTTGACAGGCGTCAAATTGATCAACCATCTCGACTTTTGAAGTCGCATCCAAAGCACGGACAACTTCATACTATGAAGTTGTCCGAACAACCTGAAGCTCAGTCATTCCCATAACTCTTTGGAGAGTCGTTGGGTAATCTTTGAATTTTTATGAGAAGGAATTTCCGCACGTGTCTCTTATTTTCCATTTTCATCATTTCATATTCTATATAGAGCCCTAATTCACATTGCTAACTCATTTGTACAACCGGATCTATGAACTGCACTTATATATATGTCTGAAGAGGCCTATAGCCATTCAGCTTACAAAGTCCAAAAATTGCTTAAATTCAAATCACACATCCAGCCCATCAATCGTCCCTTGCCTGAAAATCGGTCACCTTTCCTCAGCACTTCACATCAACATCTTTGGTACAACTTTGAGTGATAATCAAATTTGGTTCAAAAAAGTTAATCATGCCATGGGAAAATGGAATCCAAGCAAACATTATTTGCAATGGAAAGCGTCTACCTGAGTATCACAGCCCTAATTCAGCGCCCAACACCGTCTTCTGTGAATCCATAGCAGACCAGACTTTTCAAGTGAAGTTTTCAGGAGGAATGGAACCAGGAGATTATATAGTTGACCTCTACTGTGATGGAGTCTTCATGGACGGACGTGCATACCCTGATAGCAAACAACTGTGATCAACCTTCTACGGGATCTATCTGGATGACACAAAGTTAATGCCCTTCAAGTTTTCAAATATTGAGCTGTCAGGTCTGTCTGATTCCCCTTTTCTACACTCTTTAGATGTAAACTGACTTTCATTTGAATTTTTTTTTGTCTCACTTCACTTGATCTATATACATATATGAGAATCTTATAGAGGAAGATGCACAGGGGCAAAAATTGATGCTCACAACTATGTGAGCGTTGAAATTTTCCTGTTTTGTTCCCATTTGTTTCCCATTTGTTTCCAATTTGTTTCCCATTTGTTTCCCATTTGTTTCCCATTTGTTTCCCTTTTCTTTCTGTTTGTCAGCTGATTACGTGATCGTCAGGAACTGAGCAGACAAACTAAGCCTTCCTCAGCATTTATTCCTGAGCAAAGAAGTCTGAGGAAGGGCTGATCCATCTGCTCAGCTGATCCTGAGCGGCATTCCCTGGTTCAGTAAGCTCCAAGGGATGCCACCAATGTATAGCTTAGGGGCTGAGCTGAACTGAGTATTCCCTTAGCTAAGTCTCTGAAGTATCCCCCAGATGGATCACAGAGCGCCAAGCTTGCCTCAAGCTTGAGGGCTCCGGAATGAAGCCTGAGGCCCGTCTGCTCGTTCAACTGAGCTGCTCAGTTATTCCTCAGGGGCATCCCTGAGATCAGGAGGATCCGAATTATTTCACTGCTCATTGGATGAGGGGCTGCTCAGTTATTCCTCAGGGGCATCCCTGAGATCAGGAGGATCCGGAGGATTTCATCGCTCATTGGATGAGGGGCTGCTCAGTTATTCCTCAGGGGCATCCCTGAGATCAGGAGGATCTGGAGGATTTCACTGCTCATTGGATGAGGGCCTGCTCAGCTAGTCCTCAGGGGCATTCCTGGCCGGATCAGAAGGATCCAAAGGATGTCACTGAGTATTGGCTGAGGGGCTGCTCAGTAGATCTCAGCCCCTCAGTGTGAAAAACTTTATCTGGGGATATCACTGAGGATTAGCTGAGCAGTGAGCAGATGGGATGACACTTTTATCAGGCTTCATTCCTTAGCAAGGAAGTCTGAGAAAAGTCCGGCCCATCAGTGATCCAGTCAGGGGATGCTACTGAGTATTTGCTGAGCAGCTCAAATGGGACGCCCCTGGGCAGGCTTCTTCACTGAAAAATGAAGCCTCAGGAAGGTATAGTTCATGTGCTCATCTTCATTTTGAATAAATTGCTGAGTATTCAGTGCCTCATGAGCTGATCCTGAGTACTCATCGGGAATCAGTTATTGCTCATCCAAGATGGAAATGAGCCTTCTCAATAAATGTCAAGTAAAATATGAGAACCACAGGATGATCACCTGAACACAAACAAGATTGTGAATTGAATCAATCTGAAAGAAAATGAATCTTTTTTGGAGAATTCCAAAAAGTCTACAACGCTCACATGTATGTGAGTATCTATTTTGGCCCCTGTGATGATACTCACTCAGAGGATATTCTTGAGAATCTAGGCACTGTATCATTAGAATTCTATCACTGTAGTTTGGGCAAAGCAAAACCAGACCTACAACAGGATATTCCATCTCTTGCTCCTTCGATTAAATTTTGTGAACGGTACAAAGAAGCAATCATGCTTCCACATACCATCAGGTCAGTTAGATTGCATAATTGATTCAAAAAATTACATTTACTCTTTCAACTTTCACATGTTTCAGCACCTTTCTGACTTGAAATCTTTTCAGCCTTGATGAGTTGACTATCGCACCAAAACCGCAACCTTCCAAATCTGCCACCATTTGCCAGATGAATCCAGAGCCATTTCTACGATTTGTATGGATCTACATGTCTCGTAGTAAGCTTGAATAATAATTTCTCTTCTCTCTTTCACAGGAAACAAGAGACAATTTTCCCGCGGGAAGACCGATTACACATAATGTAGTTTCTGAGCCATAATGTACAAATAACACAGATATAACACCAAAATAATACATTTTGGCTCGTTAACTGAGTCAGATACAATTGGTTTTCCCACGGGAAAATTGTCTTTTGTTTCCTGTGTTTCATTTTCTCATATTTCTTGACTAGAATCTCCAAATCTGATGCTTACATCTATTTCCTTCCCTTAGAAATGTTGATTGCCGCGGATCTCCTTCCTCGGTCCGCCAGCCCACTCCCATCACGCTTTAAAGACAGAGACAATCAGATCATCACTGAACATTCATATGATACCACTGAACAGGAAATTGAGCCTTCAGACAAGCCAAAGACAAGCGGTAGCAAACCGGTGGTGATCAATCTGTGTGAAGACCACCAAACCACTGTGTTTTTTTCTAGTGTTGAGGAACCAATTCTTATTGAAGACAATCATGATGAGCAAGCCATTGAATAAGTAGTAGTTTACCACGGCAACTAGTTTTATACATATCATAATGATCATTTCATTTCCAATTACAACATCACAAGTAACATACATATAGATTATGGTTGATGAATTGTGTTTGCATAGTGGATGTGTACTCTTGTTGTTTATTTTTTTGATCTTTCTTCTGATGTGAGGCTAATTGGTTCTTCCAATCATTCTATGGAACATTTACGGGATACAAAGTACAAATCCGGACTCGTGCCCGGGCACGTGCCCAGAAGTCCGAATTCCATTTTTGGCGGTAAATCTGTACTCTGGACTTCTGGGCACGAGTCCAGCTTTGAATCCTCCATCAGCCAGTTTCACCTCATCTAACTCTAACCCTGCGAACTCCTCAGCATCCAAACTCCTCACCACCAACTCCATGCCCCGATTCGCTCGCAAGCAATCCCTCAGACGGTCAATTCAAGTGGAACGTCACACACGCAAAGCCCTGCGAGACAACAACCTACCCCTTCTAGCCAACTTTGGAGTCGAAATCGCTGGCGCCCACTTCCTATTCCGGATGCTTCACGCCTTAGCACTCTTTCGCCAATCGATCACAGACGACGATCAAAAAAAAACTGCTCTTGTAACTCTGGTCGGTATTCTCGAGTTGCTACCCGCTTTGGATCAAAACTATAACCTCCTTCGCTGGGGACATCATCTGCAACGACAGGCTATTTCAGATCTTGAAGTCCTAGATGAAGCACTCATGATCTTAAATAATAAGCGATTTGTTTCAAACAGGATACCTCGTGGTCGTAAGGAACTCCGAGATGCCTGGTTCTCTCAAGTGCTGATTGAAGGTGGCGATGGCTTCATCAAGCTCGTAAGTGACAGATCTTCAATTTTAAATGTGACTGGTATTGCACCTGCTTAGTGAGGTTTCTTTTCAGGCCCGAATGTCAAAGTTAGCTTTTAATAAGCTGATTGATTTAATTGAAGATAATCCTGTATTTCATAACAACTCGAACATGAAGCAGGCTCCTGTTTGGTGGCAGACGTTGGTGGCACTTGCAAACTTAGGAACTGGAGGAAATGGTGGAGACCATTTCCATCTGGCCAGGATGTTCAATTGCTCAGGTAAGATCAATTTGTAATTTCTAATGGTAGTTATGATTTTCCCGGTTCATTTTCGTTTCACCTCTATCCACAGAAGGGAGCGTGCAAAATTGGACAAAACGGTTCATCCATGCCGTGCTCAGTTTGAAAGACCAGTACATGCGGTGGCCAACTCCTCAAGAACGCTTTGCTCTGAA